GTGTGCCAGAGTCGAACAGTTACAATAAAGTTTGCTTTTGTTTCCCAAATAATTTCTTCTACGTAATCTACCGGGTGAAGTGTAATTCCCGTGCGGTGAACTACATTGGAGAGACTAGGAAACGCTTGCAAGCCCGGTTGACGGAACACATGATGGCAGTAAGACGGATGGACCCACTATCTGGGTCGAGGAGATGATCGCATAGCGAGGGAAATTACCAAACACTAGCACACGGGGACAACCTCTATCAGTCGTTGTGCGGTGCTTCTCACAACCTACCAAGGTGTGCAAAGGCAGCTGTATGAAGAAAAGAGCAAAAGAGGACATAAACGGAACGTGAATCCGAGTACTTGCTAGCCGATGGTGCACACACACGTAGCTAAACCATAACCGGAAATAGCAGTCATTAGCTCAGCCAGTTAATCCACTCAGCCTGCGAGTTTGAAACCGGACGTATGAGTGCAAGCAGGATTGCCGGCCTGGGGCGACAGCTTCTGTCGATGACAGCTGTACAAGCGCGCACAACGGAAGCCGACAGGAGATTCTTTGACCGAGGTTAATCCGATTTGCAGGGTACGATGATTGAGCATCCCTCCCAACTCCTTTGCTTCTTCCTCTGCATTGGTTTAACCCCTATTGCCTATAACTGTCAACACCTATAAATACTGTGATGTGCAGTACAACTACCACCTCTGATGACGGAAACCTGTGCGCTTTTGAAACGTCAGGGCGCTAAAACAATGTTTTCCGAGATTGTGGTTTGATAAAGTGCTTATGACCCATCTGGTAGACCCCAGTGGTGGACAATCTGCACCATCCGTGAGTGCGCATGTTTCTTTTGTCCGACCCAACTGGTGTTCTAGGCCTCGATAATTTCCCTCGCTACGCGATCTATTCCTCGACCCAGAATTTCGGCATTCTGGAAGGCAAGCGTGTGTCCGGAGTCTGCAAAATGTTCATCCACCAAAGATTGTGGGTCCAACCGTCTTACTGACCTCATGTGTTCCGTCACCCGGGTTTGCAAGCGTTTCCTAGTCTCTCCAACATAGTCCACCGCGCAAGAATTACTTTTGTTCTGGTAGATGAAGTAAGCTGTTTCACCCCGGGACAGAGGGGCCTTCGGTCTCATAACTAGGTACCGTATTGTTGACTCTGGTCTGTGGGCGATGCCGATCCGCAGTGGTTTTAGTAGACTGGAGACGGCCTCCAAAACGCCGTCACTGTAAGGCAGCAGACGCTATAATTTTTGTTGGTTGGTTGCCGAACTTCAGTTTGATCAAGACTGCCTGCCGCGTTTGATAAAGTTTCGAGCGTAACCGTTGGCTATGAGGAGACGCTGGAGGAATTGCATTTCAGATTTTCAGTCATGCGGCTCACTGCAGTTTGTGTCTGCCCATATTATGTATTAGTATCTGGCATCGCTGGTTTGGTAATGGAGAGTTAAGTTCCGCTTTCGCCTATGAACTCATACTAGAGCCTGTGCAAGCAGTCGCATAGCGACAAAAGGAATAGGATGAAGGGTATCCGACAAAGCAAAGGGTGACTGGTATGGTCATTTGTGGATGATGACGGCTACAAGCCAGAATGGCCATACGCGTCTCCCTTTGCTTTGTCAGATCCACTTCGCATATATTTTCCGAAGATCTTCTTTTCATCATGTCATCTCGGAATGCACACTAATTCAGCTATCCAAAATATTTCTGCGCACCAAACGCTTATCTTAACCAGACTTTGGAATAAATTGCACGGAGGCAGGCCATGACTTACGAACAACTCTACTTCCTTCACCGCTGTCCACAATTTTGGCATCCTTCCCAAATTTATTCGATTTAAATCCACGCTACATAATGAGACCAAAAAAAACTACTCGTACGAAAATATTGGTTCCGCGTTTAAAGTGTCATTATATCCGACATTTGCCACTGTATTGGCCGTTTCGAAGCAAACATTAACGACCTCACAGGTACTGCAAAGTATAAATGCCACCACGAAATACGCCAAAATGACACGACGAACTGGTCTACTCGAGGGACTCAAATCGTTTCTCCCTTCTACTTATGGAACCAACATGTAGAAGACAGTCGGTAACCTATCCCGGAGGGACCTAACATCTGCTGAAACAAACCTTCTGTCAAAAGGAATAAAATGCAGTCATGTCGATACGACACTGACTAACTTTCTAGCCAATCTTTAGTCTCTCCTACTGGCCCTAGCTATCGAGGAGAGAAAGCGGTTACTCTCGCTGTGGATTGGTGACAATATAATCATTGTGCCTGCTGACAAAGGTGGAGCAACTGTCGTAATGGGTTAAACAGACTATGTCAGTAAGCCAAACCAACTCTTAAATGACAGAGAGGTGTACACACCGCTCGATGCCGACGCAAAAATACAGACCGCTGCTATAGGTGAACGAGCTTTCTCGCTAGAAACTCATCACGCCTGGGGACTCCACATTTATTAACATTAGTGACCACCGCACCGCACATGCGTTTGGCCTCCCAAGGGTGCACAAGGCTGATGCCTCATTGACAACCGCGCCAAATGTCTATTACGAACCAAAACTTCGGTTTGCCGTTGCTTGTGAGCACCCAGATGGGTTTTCGTCGGCACTCACATACGAAGGACCGTGGATAACCTTTGGATGTGAATGTCCGGGATTCTTAACTTCGGTTAGGGGAACAGCTGTTGAGCAGCCAACGGTTACCGGTTTTACACGCTACAGTTCGCCCATCAATTTAGATTATGCTAGTATGAGGCGACACACTCTATTGGCCTGTCCATATGGCCCAAACCGCCTACCTGATTGCATTTTTACTGGCAGCGTCAAACTTTAGGGAGCCGCCATTGAGAGGTGGGTGTAGTTTCAATCTGCACAAAACGGATTTTCGCCTTTGAGTGAACTGGTTCATGATAATCACGAGTCCCTCGGAGACTTCACGTGCCCCTGTTAAGCGGGAGGGGTGGGGAGTCGTCTGGTCGCATGTCCTCTGCGGTGGAGCAGGCGTTTCGACATTGGCATTTTATTCTCGCGTAAACATGAGGTAGTCGCTGGGACGGAGGGTGGAGGCGTCACGCTACGGCCAAACGCC